ACTAGACTATAGACTAGACTATAGACTAGACTATAGACTAGACTATAGACTAGACTATAGACTAGACTATAGACTAGACTATAGACTAGACTATAGACTAGACTATAGACTAGACTATAGACTAGACTATAGACTAGACTATAGACTAGACTATAGACTAGACTAGACTATAGACTAGACTATAGACTAGACTATAGACTAGACTATAGACTAGACTATAGACTAGACTATAGACTAGACTATAGACTAGACTATAGACTAGACTATAGACTAGACTATAGACTAGACTATAGACTAGACTATAGACTAGACTATAGACTAGACTATAGACTAGACTATAGACTAGACTATAGACTAGACTATAGACTAGACTATAGACTAGACTATAGACTAGACTATAGACTAGACTATAGACTAGACTATAGACTAGACTATAGACTAGACTATAGACTAGACTATAGACTAGACTATAGACTAGACTATAGACTAGACTATAGACTAGACTATAGACTAGACTATAGACTAGACTATAGACTAGACTATAGACTAGACTATAGACTAGACTATAGACTAGACTATAGACTAGACTATAGACTAGACTATAGACTAGACTATAGACTAGACTATAGACTAGACTATAGACTAGACTATAGACTAGACTATAGACTAGACTATAGACTAGACTATAGACTAGACTATAGACTAGACTATAGACTAGACTAGACTAGACTATAGACTAGACTATAGATAGACGACTAGACTATAGACTAGACTATAGACTAGACTATAGACTAGACTATAGACTAGACTATAGACTAGACTATAGACTAGGACTATAGATAGACTATAGACTAGACTATAGGACTAGACTATAGACTAGACATAGACTAGACTATAGACTAGACTATAGACTAGACTATAGACTAGACTATAGACTAGACTATAGACTAGACTATAGACTAGACTATAGACTAGACTATAGACTAGACTATAGACTAGACTATAGACTAGACTATAGACTAGACTATAGACTAGACTATAGACTAGACTATAGACTAGACTATAGACTAGACTATAGACTAGACTATAGACTAGACTATAGACTAGACTATAGACTAGACTATAGACTAGACTATAGACTAGACTATAGACTAGACTATAGACTAGACTATAGACTAGACTATAGACTAGACTATAGACTAGACTATAGACTAGACTATAGACTAGACTATAGACTAGACTATAGACTAGACTATAGACTAGACTAGAGACTAGACTATAGACTAGACTATAGTCTAGACTATAGACTAGACTAAGACTAGACTATAGACTAGACTATAGACTAGACTATAGACTAGACTATAGACTAGACTATAGACTAGACTATAGACTAGACTATAGACTAGACTATAGACTAGACTATAGACTAGACTATAGACTAGACTATAGACTAGACTTTAGACTAGACTATAGACTAGACTATAGACTAGACTATAGACTAGATTATAGACTAGACTATAGACTAGACTATAGACTAGACTATAGACTAGACTATAGACTAGACTATAGACTAGACTATAGACTAGACTATAGACTAGACTATAGACTAGACTATAGACTAGACTATAGACTAGACTATAGACTAGACTATAGACTAGACTATAGACTAGACTATAGACTAGACTATAGACTAGATTATAGACTAGACTATAGACTAGACTATAGACTAGATTATAGACTAGACTATAGACTAGATTATAGACTAGACTATAGACTAGATAGACTAGACTATAGACTAGACTATAGACTAGATTATAGACTAGACTATAGACTAGACTATAGACTAGACTATAGACTAGACTATAGACTAGACTATAGACTAGACTATAGACTAGACTATAGACTAGACTATAGACCAGACTATAGACTAGACTATAGACCAGACTATAGACTAGACTACAAAGTACTTATTTTTAAGAAAATCTAATTGACCATGACTTTGTTATGGAATTTTTACTTTCAGAATTAATTATAACAATTGTCAATGAAATAATCTTGTTGTCGATCTATAAACATTCGGCATTAAGAGCACATTACAACAACTAATTACAGCTATATAATTGTTCGATATCCGGCTGTGGAAAATTTATTTATTTTTTAGTATATTGTAACAATTACAATTGTCATTAAATGTGGGAAAATGTGCAAACTTTTGTTAAATTCATTTTATAATTTTGAGATCGATGACCAATTTTTGATAAACTTAATTAATTTTAATTAAATAAACAGAACTTAATTAAGTTGTTGTTTTGTGATTAGAAAAAAAGTTATTTGATAAAATTTTTATAATTTAAAGAGACGCTTACTATAGAGTACATGAAAACCTATTTGAATAGCAATTACTTCTCGTTACGGCAGAACATTTGTATATTATTTTAATTTATTTAATTATGCATTAAACATGCTGTAAACATTCAAATGATTTTATATACTTGATTATTCTAATGAGAACAACCATTAATATGTTAATAGTTTAAAATTATCACATAAATTATTTAAAATTAATGCATTTTCCTTATTACAATCATAAACAAAGTTAGACGATATGATTTTGTCTTTCTTATTGACAAGTATAGAAAAATTATATATATTTTTATCTAAGACTTCCTAGTCTTTATATGTAAAATATTTTTCTAATTTCTCATAATTAGTTATTCTTAACAGGTTTTGAAATGCTCTATAATTTAAATAATTCAATATTTATATTTATCCAGGAATTACTTTACCTCCTACATAGTTCTGTAATATTCATTTACAGAAACCTCATTGATTTGAAAGAAGAACTCTCTAATCAATTGCCCATTTAAGTTTTTCTTCTTCTTTTCTATCTAATTAAATATTTTCTAAAACTAATTAATTCACATTTCTTTCGTCACTTTGAAAGTTATTGAAATTCTTAAGAAGTCTTTATATTATTTTCTAAATTATAAATTCCAGTCACACCTTTTAAGTCTGGTATAGAGTATTTGTTTTAGTATCAGCCTATAGTTTGGTGCTTCAATTTGTTAGTGTTTTAATTACTTTTTAATTTATGTTAAAACTAAATTTAAAATTCAGTTGACATACATATTTTTTAAAATATTACTTTAAGAACTCAGATTTGAAACGAGCCATGAACATTTATTTATTTTTAAATAATTTCTAGTTCAGTTCTAGTATATGTATTTCTAGTTTAGTTCTGCTCTAGTTCAGTTGAAGTTTGAATCTAGTGCAGTTATAGTTTCAGTTCTATTACAGTTCTAGTTCAGTTCTAGTACAGTTCTACTTCAGTTCCAGTTCAGTTCTGGTTCAGGTTTAGTTTAGTTCCAGTTCAGTTCTAGTTCAGTTCTAGTTCAGTTTCTAGTTCAGTTTCTAGTTCAGTTCTAGTTCAGTCCTAGTTCAGTTCTAGTTCAGTTCTAGTTCAGTTCTAGTTCAGTTCTAGTTCAGTTCTAGTTCAGTTCTAGTTCAGTTCTAGTTCAGTTCTAGTTCAGTTCTAGTTCAGTCCTAGTTCAGTTCTAGTTCAGTTCTAGTTCAGTTCTAGTTCAGCTTTAGTTCAGTTCTAGTTCAGTTCTACTTCAGTTCTAGTTCAGTTCTAGTTTAGTTCTAATTCAGTTGTAGTTCAGTTCTAGTTCAGTTCTAGTTCAGTTCTAGTTCAGTTCTAGTTCAGTTCTAGTTCAGTTCTAGTTCAGTCTAGTTCAGTTCTAGTTCAGTTCTAGTTCAGTTCTAGTTCAGTTCTAGTTCAGTTCTAGTTCAGTTCTAGTTCAGTTCTAGTTCAGTTCTAGTTCAGTTCTAGTTCAGTTCTAGTTCAGTTCTAGTTCAGTTCTAGTTCAGTTCTAGTTCAGTTCTAGTTCAGTTCTAGTTCAGTTCTAGTTCAGTTCTAGTTCAGTTCTAGTTCAGTTCTAGTTCAGTTCTAGTTCAGTTCTACTTCAGTTCTAGTTCAGTTCTAGTTCAGTTCTAGTTCAGTTCTAGTTCAGTTCTAGTTCAGTTCTAGTTCAGTTCTAGTTCAGTTCTAGTTCAGTTCTAGTTCAGTTCTACTTCAGTTCTAGTTCAGTTCTAGTTCAGTTCTAGTTCAGTTCTAGTTCAGTTCTAGTTCAGTCTTAGTTCAGTTCTAGTTCAGTTCTACGTCAGTTCTAGTTTCAGTTCTAGTTAGTTCTAGTTCAGTTCTAGTTCAGTTCTAGTTCAGTTCTAGTTCAGTTCTAGTTCAGTTCTAGTTCAGTTCTAGTTCAGTTCTAGTTCAGTTCTAGTTTCAGTTCTAGTTCAGTTCTAGTTCAGTTCTAGTTCAGTTCTAGTTCAGTTCTAGTTCAGTTCTAGTTCAGTTCTAGTTCAGTTCTAGTTCAGTTCTAGTTCAGTTCTAGTTCAGTTCTAGTTCAGTTCTAGTTCAGTTCTAGTTCAGTTCTAGTTCAGTTCTAGTTCAGTTCTAGTTCAGTTCTAGTTCAGTTCTAGTTCAGTTCTAGTTCAGTTCTAGTTCAGTTCTAGTTCAGTTCTAGTTCAGTTCTAGTTCAGTTCTAGTTCAGTTCTAGTTCAGTTCTAGTTCAGTTCTAGTTCAGTTCTAGTTCAGTTCTAGTTCAGTTCTAGTTCAGTTCTAGTTCAGTTCTAGTTCAGTTCTAGTTCAGTTCTAGTTCAGTTCTAGTTCAGTTCTAGTTCAGTTCTAGTTCAGTTCTAGTTAGTTCTATTAGTTCTAGTTCAGTTCTAGTTCAGTTCTAGTTAGTTCTAGTTCAGTTCTAGTTCAGTTCCAGTTGAGTTCTAGTTCAGTTCTAGTTCAGTTCTAGTTCAGTTCTAGTTCAGTCCTAGTTCAGTTCTAGTTCAGTTCTAGTTCAGTTCTAGTTCAGTTCTAGTTCAGTTCTAGTTCAGTTCTAGTTCAGTTCTAGTTGCCGAAAATCTTTTTATGTACTCGGATATAAAGGTCCATAATTTCCCTCCAGCTTACAGTAGAAATATTTCAAACCGTTAAAAATACATACCTTATTTTACACTACTCTGGTCGCAGTTCCGAAATCTGCAAAAAAACAATATTTGGAAATTAAAATTGTTTAAACTGAAATGAAAAAATAATTTTGAGTTTAAATGCAGAACTACGTTCTTAAACCATATCAAAATATTTGGACCAATTATAAATCCACTATGAATGAAAATTTCAAAAACAACCGATGTAATGGGACTCTAGGATCCTTTACGAACCGGGAATGCTTTATCATACCAATCGACACTTTTTTGATGTAACATAAGTTTGAAGAATTTTCAAGTTTTTAAAATAAGAAAACTAGTGTCACTGTTCACTTATGGATAATTTTAACTAAGTTTTACAAAAAACCTGACCTATTTAAACAAAGTTATTAAATTTAATTTAATTGTTTTTACATTTTTTTTCGTATCCAATTGTCAACTCTCAAGCCCTCGTCCAAAGAGAAAATTCCCTCCAACCACTGGAGCCATTCATAATATATCACATAATAATGCAATTTTTGGAATAAATGTCTGTTATTGTTGTAGTGGAATGCATTACAACACCTTTATTGTTGTGTGTATATTTTTAACGAAGACAAAACCAGTTATTTGTCGTTTTTATGCAGACATTATAATACAATTCATACATTCATTCACCCATTCCAGTAGGTTCTGTAATGCAATCGGCATTTAACTACAACAATCCAAAATACTACTCAGAGAAATGTTAAAGCGGTAGATTAAAAAAAAACGTCACAACATTTCAAAATATTTGTAGACATTTAAATAGTTTTGAATACTTTCACTTTCTTTCATTTCTTTCTGTAGTAGTAGTTGTTGTTGCTTTTTTCTTTGTTGAGGCGTGATATTACTAATTGATATAAAAAAAATTTGTTTATATGATAAAAAAATATTTTTGTTAACTATTATTATTGTTGGTATTATTTACAATAATAAAGCGAAATTTATACTTCAATTACTTATGTACGTATGAAGAGAGTTTGGAGGTAAACGCTCTTCGACTAGAGTTTCATAAATTAACGATTTGTTTTTAAATAACATTCGTTAGACGAGGGCAGGTTGAAAATTTAGATGAAAATTTAATTATAAATTAAACCTAGAACTGAACTAGAACTGAACTAGAACTGAACTAGAACTGAACTAGAACTGAACTAGAACTGAACTAGAACTGAACTAGACTGAACTAGAACTGAACTAGAACTGAACTAGAACTGAACTAGAACTGAACTAGAACTGAACTAGAACTGAACTAGAACTGAACTAGAACTGAACTAGAACTGAACTAGAACTGAACTAGAACTGAACTAGAACTGAACTAGAACTGAACTAGAACTGAACTAGAACTGAACTAGAACTGAACTAGAACTGAACTAGAACTGAACTAGAACTGAACTAGAACTGAACTAGAACTGAACTAGAACTGAACTAGAACTGAACTAGAACTGAACTAGAACTGAACTAGAACTGAACTAGAACTGAACTAGAACTGAACTAGAACTGAACTAGAACTGAACTAGAACTGAACTAGAACTGAACTAGAACTGAACTAGAACTGAACTAGAACTGAACTAGAACTGAACTAGAACTGAACTAGAACTGAACTAGAACTGAACTAGAACTGAACTAGAACTGAACTAGAACTGAACTAGAACTGAACTAGAACTGAACTAGACTGAACTAGAACTGAACTAGAACTGAACTAGAACTGAACTAAACTGAACTAGAACTGAACTAGAACTGAACTAGAACTGAACTAGAACTGAACTAGAACTGAACTAGAACTGAACTAGAACTGAATAGAACTGAACTAGAACTGAACTAGAACTGAACTAGAACTGAAACTAGAACTGAACTAGAACTGAACTAGAACTGAAACTAGAACGGAACTAGAAGACTAGAACTGAACTAGAACTGAACTAGAACTGAACTAGAACTGAACTAGAACTGAACTAGAACTGAACTAGAACTGAACTAGAACTGAACTAGAACTGAACTAGAACTGAACTAGAACTGAACTAGAACTGAACTAGAACTGAACTAGAACTGAACTAGAACTGAACTAGAACTGAACTAGAACTGAACTAGAACTGAACTAGAACTGAACTAGAACTGAACTAGAACTGAACTAGAACTGAACTAGAACTGAACTAGAACTGAACTAGAACTGAACTAGAACTGAACTAGAACTGAACTAGAACTGAACTAGAACTGAACTAGAACTGAACTAGAACTGAACTAGAACTGAACTAGAACTGAACTAGAACTGAACTAGAACTGAACTAACTGACTAACTGAACTAGAACTGAACTAGAACTGAACTAGAACTGAACTAGAACTGAACTAGAACTGAACTAGAACTGAACTGGTCTCGGTGGGTTCCCTTTAATTCCAATGTACTAAACGAAATTGATTTGTTCTTCTCCTAAGACTGATCTGAAACAGTTGGTGCTCTTCTACTTCCAAAATACATTTTGGGATTGACCTCGTATTTTTTTAGTAGTTATACAAATATTTTATTTTATTCAAATTTAATAAAAATGACACTGAAAAAATACTCCATCGCCAACCAATATGACTAATACTCATGCATAAATGGTGCCATAACCTAGAGGTGCTAAATACTTCAAATAAAATGAAATACAAGAATATACATATATATCTCGTTTCGAGTTATAAAAAAAAAGAAAATTAAATAAAAAGTAAAAACTACGTAACTTTTCTTCTCGGTTTAAGGTAGGACTGGTATTTTATTAACATATTTATGAAAGAAAAAACAGATTAAGTATTTTTTTGTAATAAAAAATTTTAATATTGATGATTAATTAACATAAAATCCTAAAAGCTTTGGGAGTAAAGAAAAATTGTGAATGAGAATGAAACAGAAAGTGTTTTGGGCTTAAAAAGTTTAAACTGGTTTTATTTGTTTTGGCCTAAAGGGTCAGTTACATAGAGTGTGTTTATTAAATCACAGTTTTTTCAACTATGATTATAAAGAAAATGTGCGTGAGAGTTTAATCAAGTCACGCACACGAATATCAATCACATTTAATAAAAAGAAATTATGTAAATTTTATTTTATCTCTCTGGATTTTAAAATATCAATCATAAAATAATGAAAAGAAGTTGTGAAATTTGGGGAGAAAATGGATTGGAAATAATATTTTTTAGAAGACCAACTACATACAGACATACATATTCAACTAAGTCCCTTTACAGTAAAATTTCAGTAAACATTATATTAAACGATTTTTTTACTGATGACTGAAAAATATATTGAGTATTACAAATAATGAAAACAAAAAACCATTATCAGTTAATTTATTACTGTATTTTTTTTAAATATTAAAAAAAAATAATTGTTCAAATTAAACACCATTATCAGTAAAAATGTATTGATTATTGAAACGTCAAATGCTCTTAATATATGCACTATTTGCTAAATACTCCCAACTTATAATGTTGAACTTGAGTCAGCAATTAAATACCCATCACAACTAACACATGTTTAATATTATCAGAGGCCCAAATGTTTGCTATATTCCCGAAATAGGAGAACGAATTAGGAAATTCAATTCTCTAGTGGCGAATCGGGTCGTAGGACGATCCACTAAGAAGTTCATAGACTATAGACTAGACTATAGACTAGACTATAGTATAGATTAGACTAGACTATAGACTAGACTATAGACTAGACTATAGACTAGATTATAGACTAGACTATAGACTGGTCTATAGACTAGACTATAGACTAGACAATAGACTAGACTATAGACTAGACTATAGACTAGACTATAGACTAGACTATAGACTATAGACTAGACTATAGACCATACTATAGACTATACTACAGACTAGACTATAGACTAGACTATAGACTAGACTATAGACTAGACCACAGACTAGACTATAGACTAGACTATAGACTAGACTATAGACTAGACTATAGACTAGACTATAGACTAGACTATAGACTAGACTATAGACTAGACTATAGACTAGACTATAGACTAGACTATAGACTAGACTATAGACTAGACTATAGACTAGACTATAGACTAGACTATAGACTAGACTATAGACTAGACTATAGACTAGACTATAGACTAGACTATAGACTAGACTATAGACTAGACTATAGACTAGACTATAGACTAGACTATAGACTAGACTATAGACTAGACTATAGACTAGATTATTGACTAGATTACTGACTAGATTACTAGACTAGACTATAGACTAGACTATAGACTAGACTATAGACTAGACTATAGACTAGACTATAGACTAGACTATAGACTAGACTATAGACTAGACTATAGACTAGACTATAGACTAGACTATAGACTAGACTATAGACTAGACTATAGACTAGACTATAGACTAGACTATAGACTAGACTACAGACTAGACTATAGACTAGACTAAAGACTAGACTATAGACTAGACTATAGACTAGACTATAGACTAGACTATAGACTAGACTATAGACTAGACTATAGACTATACTATAGACTACACTATAGACTAGACAATAGACTAGACTATAGACTAGACTATAGACTAGACTATAGACTAGACTATAGACTAGACTATAGACTAGACTATAGACTAGACTATAGACTAGACTATAGACTAGACTATAGACTAGACTATAGACTAGACTATAGACTAGACTATAGACTAGACTATAGACTAGACTAGACTATAGACTAGACTAGACTAGACTATAGACTAGACTATAGACTAGACTATAGACTAGACTATAGACTATAGACTAGACTATAGACCATACTATAGACTATACTACAGACTAGACTATAGACTAGACTATAGACTAGACTATAGACTAGACCACAGACTAGACTATAGACTAGACTATAGACTAGACTATAGACTAGACTATAGTCTAGTCTATAGTCTAGTCTATAGTCTAGTCTATAGTCTAGTCTATTGTCTAGTCTATAGTCTAGTCTATAGACCAGTCTATAGTCTAGTCTATAATCTAGTCTATAGTCTAGTCTATAGTCTAGT